CAGTGATCGATCAACGTAAATATTTAACTTTTTATATTCGAATGGTTTTAAAACTAAGAGAATTTCAAATACGATTATAGTTCGTTATTGAAGTACATGAAAGTTTCGAAACTGTAATTCTGGGAATTGTAAGAAATGGACAATGAAAGACTTAGTTAACTGTTATAACGTGAAAATGATGCTGCGGATTAAGGGTAGGGAATTATTGATCGGACCAAAGACGCACAAACACGTAGAACGACCTAGGGTTCTGATTGGTCTCGCTCCCCTATCTAACCCAGCCAGTTGAGTCCAGAACACAAGTGACAGCTTCGGAGATATGAATCATTGTATTTCAAACATACTTTGTTTATATACCAGTCAAGCAGACCATAACGTCCCATAAAATAGAAAATAACATTGTACAATAATGGCCGGTAGGAAAATGACACGTTAAATAAATATTGACCAATAAGATGATACCATTTCACGTCCAAGGATAGCATTAACCTTAACAGGATAATTTTTTGGGATATTTTCCTGAATGTCCCAACATTAACTTCATAGATAAGAATTCGCACTAAAACTGTAGAAAACCCACCTCTATGTATTACGTCAATAATAAACACTGTATTATTATGTCAATAAGTTATTTCTGTAGTAAATTCTATCAATTTGTAGACAAATTCATCCTATCCACATTATATTCTCAATCAAATAAAAATGTTGACACAATAAAATGCCAAAACATTGTACCACATACAATAGGAGGATAAAACTATGAAGAATTAAAAGTTTATTATCATTATTAATGGCTTCGGTACAATATAGAACTCTCAACACAAGGTATTTTAACAGTATAGTTAATAGCCAAATAAAAAAGATTAATATTTAATGAAAGATACAGTTCAATTAAAAATAAAACTAAGATAAATTGCTTTGAGTTGAATGGGTTTATCTTACATATATGAAGAATATAACAGAAGACTTCAGCAGGGTATATAATGGTTTCTATTTTGAACCACAAGTGATAATGTCTTAATGTACTATTTGTCATAATTTTGGGCATCGGATCCAGGTAGTTGTAATGAGCCAACAGACACCAGTTCTATACAGCCATCTTTCGAAACACGGCATCATCCGATTATCTGAACACTTCTACTTTCCCATCCAATCCCGAAATCAGTAGTTATTGTCGATTGGGAACACTTTCGTAACTTGTATCCAAACCATCTAAGTCGGCATTTTAAGATTGTAATACTGACTGAATTATTATTAATATTAACAGTATTATACTCTAACACATGACTTAAATAAATAAATAATTAATTATAACTAATATTCTAATTGAATGTGGATAGTTTGTAATGCTAGTTTGTAATACTAATCCTTCCTTATAGTAAAGGTTAAAAAAATGTCTTTCTATATGATTTGTCGCATGTAAACCTTTTACTTCATTCACATTAACGTTATGAGTAATCAAGGTATGTATAGCATATATATATATATATATATATATGCTAGACAAATAGACAAGTCCATTAACAAAGATGTTTATAAATACATGTCTTTATAGTTACAGAATTATGGGTAAAACTGTGAAATAGCGCTTGTAAGAAAAAAAGTTAGTGTATAAAATTTTATTAGCCCGAATCAATACACTTCTGTTCATAGTAAGTAATGGAAGAACAAAAACAATTCGACAATGAAAGTTACAAAGAAAACTTAACGAACAAACTATCTAATTTAAATAGTACATTTATTATTAATCAATAGGGTCAAAAATGTGACCTTAGCTCTATAAATAAATATTTATAATTTGAATGAATCATCCAGTTGGACTGTTTAAAAAAGGTTAAATTTATTCTATGATAAGCAGGAAGCGGAACTTTTTACTCTAGTATGATACAGATGATAAAAGATTTAGGGTTACATAAAATCGAGAGCATTGTTTACAGTTATGACTGACTCATTACAGAGTGGTAACCAATGCAATTCTGTCTCGTCTTCTAGCATTAATTGAATTCCATTGAACAAGTTACAATGGTGTTATATCGCGATGAGAATAATGAAAGGTAACTTTTGAGAACTAATTATGGACCATATATTTTTATTGTATAATTATTAAGTAGCTAAACTATACATATTCATGTTCGCCTTATTAAAAGCTCTATTTTAACCCATAGACTATTATTATGCAATTTACCGTTCTTGAATTACACCCAGTCTATTAATAACGGTCTCCCACATTCACAGCCACATTTGGCTAAATCTTATACAAACGTTATTTTCTATTTTAATGGTACGATGTGGTCTGTCTGGTTGGTGTATAAACCCAGTATGTTTGAAATACATGATTCATATCACAGAGGCTGGGATTGGTGTTCTGGATTTAACAGGCAGTGCTAGGCAAGAAGAAGGACCGACATGGACTCTAGACTGTTCGTACGTGTTTACATATCATTGGTCCGGTCGATAAATCACTGTTCCCTAATTGGCGGTATCATTACGTCATACATTGATAGGGACACTAACCCACAAGTAAATACCGATTGGCGACGGGATGGAAAAAATTCTGAACCCTCAATCTTCTAAATAAAGGACCAAGGTCAGCCAGTAATTAGACGAAAATCGGTGTAATTATTTCGGACAATCAGAATATAGAATTGTTGTCGGTTTCCTGGAACGACATTGGTTGTTAATTAGTTATACTGTATTTTCTATTACCGTGCTGATCAATCGCAGTTGTTATTTTCAGCAACAACAGCAGTGTTTTAAGAAGAGTCAGTTGGAATTGATAGAAAAATTGCACACACGGCTGCTGAATCATCCATGTTTTGGAGATGTGACGGTAGTTGATGAATTTATTTCTAAATTGCGTAAAGTGCTGGAAAATGATTGCAGAATGGATGAATGTGTCAATGAAAGCCTCCATGAATCCTTGACAAGCAGTAATTTAAACGAAACAGTAGCAGTCATTCATGATCTGCCCAGAAGTCTAGAAACGTCCATTTCAGAGACATGCCCTGTAGTGGGTTTAAATCCAATTATCCCCGAAACACAATGTTCAAGCAGTGACTTGTCCAGCTCACAGAAAGACGGGGTCTTGTTAAATACTATTGAAATTGTTGAAGTACCCGCCCATAAAGGAACAGAAAATAAATCGAGCAGCATAATGAGTACAGCTGCACCAAATGGAGGTCATCATTCTGCGACAAAATTCCTGACGAATCTAGTTATCGGGATTCTCTAGTTGTTTTACCAGGTATAGGTTATCTTAATGATTCACATGTTCTTGATGAAATTTCTTATAAAAATGAGAAAAATATGTCGGATGCACCAAATGATAATCAAGAACCTAGATCAGACCTAAGGACTAGAAGAATATGACATTGGGTACTACCAAGTAATTAATCGGTGCACACAACTCGGGCATACGTGCCAGATGCACCCCGAACAGCTCGATGGGAAGACCTTAAACTGTAAAACTGACTTGTCGGGGTTCGAACTCTATAAGGGGAATGAACTCATTTAATAATACAGATGCGCCTCGATGACAAGCACTAGCTGGAACGAAACCTAATTCTAGGGTTTTCCGCCGAACACCTTCAACCACCTAACACTAAGTAGACAATCACCAGGTATGGGAAAAAGTATTTTAATAAATGAAAACAAGTTGTTTCTGTAAGATGTAAGAGCATGCACATTTATACAAAGAAAAATTAAAAAAAACCGCTCACACACAAACAAAGAATGCCTAATTAAAAGTAAGATCCTTGTATGCTTGATAATTTTTAACCATTTATCAAGATTGTTTGTATTCTTATAAAAACAATCAACGAAAAAAGAAGTAATAAAATCACATTTGACATAAGACGTCATACAGATATCGATGAGGATGGTACACACGAATATGGATCCTTGTGTTGTTTTCATATATCCACAATACGTACTGACAGATTAAGTCAAACAAAAGGCAGGTTAGTAAAATGTATGCAACTAACACATGTGAATCAATATGTCAACACAGTATTTTAATAAATTGTTTACTCTGATGGACGAACCACTCTTAAATTGTTTATTATAGAAGAAAAAAGAAAGGTAAGTAGACCACTATTATATCTGAGAAGATAATGATAAGTGGTAAAAAGCATGATGACATAAGAGTGTTAAGTTGAAGAAAAAAAATTATATGTTACGTTTTATGGTTATTAGTGGCATTACTTCATTGGTACTACTATCAATAATAATAATAATAATAATAATAATAATAATAATAATAATAATACAGTTATTAATATGCATTTAATCGAAAGTAATAATTAAGAATATAAAATGAATCACTAGTAGTACTGAGACCAAATGACACATTTCACTGTGTATTAATACTTAAATAAAAATTCTATTGTCAATATCCTGTAGAGGTAGACAGAAAATAGAAAAAAAAATCCTAACTAATCTAAAAAAAGTATTTGACGAAATAAACTAAGATTTTTATGAACGTGAAGCTCTAGATCAAATGAATTGAAGTACATACACATCACTTTAAGTTATTGTACAAATTTCGTCTTTTTATTTACTAAAATCAATATAATTTAAATGGTATGTTAGTGAAATGAGGAGTAATTTTTTTCCATCAAAATAACGATCAAACAAATACTACTATTCTTTTGTTATAAAAGTTTCCTTACTTATTGTCAAAGAATGGTGATATATCATTTTGTAGAATGATATTATGTAATTAACACAAAGAGGAAGAGAAAATGGTGAGTAATATACAGATAACAAAATAAAGCATATTGTAAGTTAAAAAATGAAACAAAGTAACAGCATAGAAATGAAGAAAAAAACTCACAGGGAAAGGCATGACACAAGTGAAAATGAGACGAAATAAAAGCATTATAAGCATAGTTCACTGTTTATCTACATATTCACTTACAAGTCTAATGATAATAATAATAATAATAATGAGCAATACTGGTATACCTTGATATTTTCATAAAAGGTTAGGCGCTTTACATTCAACACAAATTATTATTATTGTCATCATTATTGCCACTCTCAAAACTATAAATATTAGTCTCTTGAAGTATAAAGTCTCCGGTGAATAACTCATGAAAATACCATGGCAACTGTTCAGTTGTATTGCCGTAGGCTTTTTCCACAAATAAACCTTGGTTGCACAACGTGATTGAACGCAATTCAGTTAAAGCCATGAGAATCCTCGGCCAGTACTGTTGTTGTTGTTGTGAAATTCCATTGATGTTAACTGAACGACTTGACATGTTATTATGATTCATTCGATTGGAACGAATTTTTCGAATACGATTAGCATAACGATTGAACGTCTCCAATAAAATATCCTGAGTATGTTCGACAGTTTCACAGTCGGTTAAGCCAAAACGATCTTCAGTATTGTAAATAAAAATAAAAAATTAAGTAATTAATTTACTAAGCATGGTCGACGACAAATAAAGGCGAAGCATATATTTCTTCAATGACAATTAGAAAGCTAACTTTACAACGATAGATAGATGCGTTTCGGTAAAAAAAAATAACACATTATTCTATGGTATATTATTTATTTTATTTATTAGAACAAATATTGGTACAAGGGGGCGCCAGATATATATGCGCCACGCCTTCTATGGTATAAGGCTTTACAGTAAATCGATAACCTAATGGTTATACCTCTGGGTAAATTCAAAACGCTCTTCATTTATACCGGTTTGGGCAACCGAGTTTTATAAATGGCTCCCATACACTAAGTGTGTCTTAAAGCCGGGCATATATCATCTTAAAGTTAGTTAATTCCTATAAAACACAAAAAGACTTGGATGTTTATTATCAGTTGTTGTTACTACAAACCTTTAATATGCATGCGTGGAAAATGAGAATGAATGAGAAATCGGATAGCAATTGATTAAAATAATAGAGAATACTAGTCGAATATCTTACAATTCAAGTATTATGCAATTAAAACGAAAATTATTCACTATAAAGAACTAAGGTCAGTAACCGTGACCATATTTAATTTACACAGACTGAATAGCTAGCAGGAATAATGATTTACTTGCTAAAACGAGAAAAATATTAGTTTATTTCAAAAAATAATTAAAGAATAATCCAAAATAGCTGCTTTACAAGCCACAACTAACATCAGAAATAAATAATAAGGGGAAGATTTTAGACAGTGACAATAAAACAAGCATAATTCTTCTAGTCAATGATGATGACCTGAAACTATATGTGTTGATGATCCTTTTCAGATGCCATTAATTACTTATCCAGCTTTCTTGTTAAATTTATTGCTAACTGACATCGAAATATAAGGCAGAACAAGAAACCAAGAAAGCAATTTGATCATTCATTTTGTATTCGTAAGCTTTCATGTGAGTGCAGTCTGTTTATGGTAATTAGTATAATGAAACATTTCACCTACTTTTTAAGGAATAGATATAACTTTATATAAAAAGCATTAGAGGTCGACCCAATATAGACAAAGTTTAGTTAATTTCAATGTAACCATATATATATGTCATTTATTCATATAAACGCACAATTTATTCCTTAGCTATGGTTAAACGTCCATATACGGAATGAGTCGAGTTTTCATGGTGGTGTTAGTTTATTCAACTGAATCATTCAACTTAAAGGAAGTAAATCTTCTGTAACTACGGAGACATGGTGATAACGTATTAAATCACAAGTGAATGACACGTACATATAATGATGGAAAGCAGATAAAAATTATTCATCAGTTAGTCGAAACATTTGAACATCTGGCATGATGTTGGTCAGCCTAGGATTTTATAAAAATAAGTGTAAGTTATTAACCAAGTGATCTATGTACTTGGTTTTTAAACGTACTTTAGGTGTGACAGTCATTACTTTATTTCCTATCTTGATGATAACAATCGGGTTTGCATGGAGTAGTGAGCATGATACTGTATGTAATCAGAATTGTTCGATTGGAAAGCTGAGTTAGTAAAAGACTTAACAAACAAAATGTGGTACTTAAACATTGACATACCTGGGGACATTAATAAAATAGATGTCATTAATGCAACTTCTGTTTGGTCGATTTCAAGGCGAGCTAATTTCAATGCTACCGCACGAATCATCTGGGCACATTTCACATCAGAAGTGCCTAATTGAGGGTAAATATTATTTGGAATAACAGACGCAACATTGTGTTGATGTGAAGGAAGATTCTGCACAAAAATATCGACCGAATCTAATGAACTTGTTGTAAACTGTGGCTTGTTATTTCCATTAGAATCAACAATTCCAAGTGAGACAGCAATGCGACTTAATAAGTACGCAGCGCGTAGAGTGATAATATCTAAGCAGCAGCCACGTAACAAACGTGTTTGATCGTTGGCATCTAACTAGAATAAATACAAGAAATATAAAACTAAGCATAAGGAATATCTGAAGAAGTTATGATGCGAAAGCACCAGTAAGTATAGTACAATTATCTTAGTCTACTACTGTTAACAATAACAGGTTTACAAATTTTATTTTGCCCTAGTTAAATTTTCTAATGGTGTTCTGTGATAGTAAAGTTTGTTAAAGTTTAAATCTATATTTACACTTCACTAGAATACAATAATCCGAATCCATAATCGAAATCAAGCTTCAAAACTCGGCTTTTTTAGTGCGAAGATCGGTTATATAACCTAATTGTTCAAAGCCGGATTCGAACTATTGCCACTAATAACCGTTAGAAATCCAGTGTTTTAATCATTAACAGACACTTTCGTCATTCCCTTAGTTTATAAGAGAATAAAAATTAATTCAAAAACCCAAATCTATAAGGCTTAAAAATAGTTAACTGACTTCATTTTCCCCAAAATTATATATACATATGCATACATATCAACAGTAATATTTCACACATACCAATTCAAATCCAGGAACTAATCTGGCGAATGCAACAAGTGATGCAATCATTGGTTCAATAAGTGAACTGATTTTTGAATCTGTTGAAGAATAGAAAGCTTTCTCAGGTTCTTTGTCAACATCTCCATTGTCAATCTATTTGAGCGAAATAAAAATGTAGATTTAAACAAGTAGAGAAACTAATATCATTGCAGTTAGTAAGCAACGAAACATACATTAATTGAGAATATGCAATAATGGATTAATTAACTATAGTTGTGAAATATATATAGGTTTAATTCTTACAAATGACAAATTATATTTTTTCATTAGTTTAGAAACCGAGAATCGATATAATTCATTCAAATTTCAATGATAGAAATAGCTGAAAATTGGTTTTTGACAATCACTAAAAGCACACTAGGATAAAACATCAGTTTTGCTTTGGTAGTCTAACTGATGTCAATCTGTGATGAATACTATCAACAAATTAAACGAATTCCGACCGAGGATAAACTCCACTTTCGCTCGCAATTTTGACCTTTCACCTGGCAACCAACCAAAATGAAGCGAGGATTAGTATTTACGCTATCATAGTCCACAATGGATGGCGTGTTTTGTTCTCTGTAGTTTTCGCTGGTTTGCATGACAACGAAAATGTCACTCCATCATGTTACCGTGTCAATTGTAGCGCAGTCAGTCATAACAAAAAGGAAACAATATAGCAAAAGTCACACATCCAGTTAACAATATGATATAAATTATTCCAAAATATCTACAAGTGAGTGACTAAACGAACGAAAACGTAACCATAATTACTGACCATGATACACTAAGATGACTTGACAACGTGGAGTTTATCCACAGCCCGAATTCCTACATGAACCTTATAACCAAAATACAAGTAGACTTTACTGATAGAAATATTTATCTTTAAAAATCCATTTTTATGTTATTCAAGGTTGACGTGATTAGACCAGTAGTGTGTTCGAAGCATGCATTTGCAAGAAATACGAGGGTTGGGCATAAAGAACAGGCTGTCGCAGAAGGTTGAGAAGAAAAAGGGTGAGCTGATTGGAAGAACATTGATCTTTTGCTGACTCGAACCAAATTGACAAGTAAAGACTTGCTTAGAGTCTGCACAACACTTCTAATTATTGGCGTTAGGTGGTACGGAACAAAATTCGTCATAATGACGGAACTTACTCATCCTTCTCCTCGTAAACTAACAGTTAATTGTCATCTATGATTGTCCATTCTTTGTTCTCATTCTCTCTGTTTGCATTGTATATCTTGCGTTTATTCTTCTATGACATTTGAAATTAACCCCACTCTGTTGTTTATTGTCTTGTTATAAATTTCTGTCGGATTCTAAGTTAACTATGATTGACTAGATATAACACTTCAGTTATCATAATACTGTTTTCATTATGTGTAAAGCTGAAGATACTATCAAAAAAATATCTTTTGAGATCACTAAGGTGATAAGATGTCATGCCCGTTCGTATGAGCTATTTTTCCCCAAAGTAAAACGTTTAATCAATGCTTCAGTACTTCACAAGTTGGGTTTTATCCAGTAAACAGCAACGATAGTTCAACAGCAACAAAAATTATGTTAAACTCACGACTTAATTAACAATTTGTTAAATGAAACAATCAGCTATCAACCATGGTGATATGTAAAGTATGACACTGCTTAGAAACTAACCGTGAATTATTTCACATCAGTCTATGAGCCATATTGCAGTGATGATCAACGACATTATGTAAATGCCTAACACGAAATAAAGAAGTAGAAGTTCATCCACCGCTACTGTGGAGGGACACTCAAAGTATGAGCTAGAACATCAAAATGTGCCATAATTATCCAGTTATCCATTTATCATGACTAGAAAGTTACAGTAGATAAAACTCACGAAATCATATGTAAAAAAATTAATGGGTAATACAATACCTTTCGTTTGAAGCTTGGATTCAACATATTACTATAAGCTTGAACAATAGAATCAACCATATTTTGATCTTCTGTTGTCCATGGGCAGTCATTATGCACTGTATCATTTGAATCCATCATACTAACATACTTAGGATGTGAAATTGATAAATTATCTTTGATCGCTGGCTGATCACAAGATAATGTTTGACATTTCTCAGGTGTTATAGGAGAATACTGTTGAGGCTCATAATCTGTATTTGTTTGGACATTATTAACATTGATATTATTAATTCGGTTATTATCTACAGCTTTCGTATACACACTTTGTTGGCTATTAAAATCACTATATTTACTTGGTAAGTTGCAGTAACCATCTTCACCAGAATATAATGGAGTTTTGTTAATTTGCATTGATACACTAGACAACTGAATTCCATTGACAGATTCTTTAAATGAAAGTGGGATTTTAGAATTATTATTATCATGATTACTAGTATCATTCATGAAACAGTGTGTATACGGAGCTCCGCATATAGGATTCCAGTATACGTTGTTGGGCATATTAGTTAGTTGTAATTTATCGATTGTTTGAATAGGTTGTACAATTAATTGTGCTTCATTTGCAGGTGAATATGTTGCATCTGGAGTTTTTGGATTGACAAATGAGTGGCTATCATTGTTGGTTACCTCCAAATAACGTGTTTGAATAGGATTACAGTTAAACTGACTTCCAGTTGTTGAACTGAGTGCAAATTGATTGGTAAAATGAGTATTAGTATGGATTGTAGAATGATAAGGAATCGTTGACATAATAACAGGTGTACTAGAGATGGTGTTCGATGTAGAGATTGGTTGATTGTGAATGAAATGATATTTTGATACTGAATTAGGTTTGTAAAATTAGGTATATTAATTGATGGATCTGTAACACATACAGCAGTGGAGGCTTCTATAGCTTCAGCTCTTTTACGTGCTCGATTTGCTTCGATTAGACGACGTTTAGCTAAACGTTTATCTTCATCAAGTACGACTATTGGAAGAGAATTTTTACGAAAAAAAGACAACAAATATTTGATTAACATTGAAAATTGTTGCTTTCAAGTCAACTTCTTTGTGTTATATCGCAATCGTAAAATTTGAAGTCGAAGTTATATAAAACCTTTTATTAAGTTGTACACGAACCGTTAACCTACCAATATTCTACTGAATAATATTACTCATAATGTAACAGAATTAGTTCAGTGACTTTGCTTTACAGCGATAATACAAATTAGTTAATGAATAGGTTAGGTTAGTAAACATCAGTATTCATACAAATGCTAAAGGTAAATGGTTCATTTCGTAAAGACAATATGTATTGGGTATTTATGGAAAACGTCAATGGGATTCCTTATATGTGAGGGTCTAGAGATGTAACATAAAATAGTGTAAAAAAATTCAGTAATGGAAAGATACAACTAATATTTTTCATTTGTACGAGGATGGTACTGATATTAGAAGATGAATTATCCAGACTGATCACTTCGTTTTGTAGTTATCATTATATGAACTCTCGTGAAGCTAGTTACACTGGTCAACCATGGGAAATTACATTTACTTGCTCGTGTCAAGGAAAAAATGTAAGATGACGGACGGGTTGACCTCAGTTCAGATTGTTTATAAAGTCGACATTAATCGGCCGCTTTCAACAACTGATTGTATTTGTACTAATCTATCAAAATCCCTCGGGTCCATACTTAAGCGTTAAGCATTCCAGTACTACATTTAAAGGAAGCATATCTAGCTTCTGCCCTTACCAGGGCCGCTCTTACGGTCAGTAATTCTGTATTCAAAAAAGTAAATAAACCAACTGACTTGTTAAAAACATAAAGATATTTCGACGTAGAGAATTTTCTTTTCTGAACAAAATAATCAGAAGTTGACTAAAATGATGCAAGTGTTGAAAAATGAGTCAATTATTAACGAGGATCTATTCAAATACCTAAGATCAATGGCTTGTTTTATCCCGTGATTATATGGACTCTCAAAGGTATATGAAAAATATCTTCGTCCTACGATGGATATATATAACTGTCCATACCACGCAACTGCCAAACATTTGGTGGAAATTTTACAACCTGTCATAAGCCAGATCTGGAGACACGGTACTTCTGACTCCTTTAATTTCGTCAATTCAGTAACCGACTTCATTATATTGAGAAAGAAAATGATATCACTAGACATCACTTCTCTATTCATAAATGTCTCGCTGGTCATAACAAAATCGGTATCAGCGTCCCAAAGCACTAAACAAAAGGATTATGCCTGCACTGCACTGAAATTTAGAAGTGCAGTTTGGATTTGATGAAGATTTCCATAAGAAAATCGGTGGTGCCTCATTATGATCGCCATCGAGTGCTCTTCTGGCACACTGTTTTGTGACAAATCTGAAGAACCTTATAGTTTCGCCAAACAGTCGGCATATTTCACTTCTATGAGAGATACATGGATGGTACGTTGATCATGTGACGAGAACAGTGACCTTAGTAATATGTTACGTAGTCTCGGTAATTGCTAGACCTCAAGAAGCACCAGCATAAAAAGAAGATATTTACTGATGCCGTGAGTAAGACCCAAGAAAAGAAGGATAAAAAGACAGTAACCAAAAAAGCCGAACAGGAAAGAGGAAGTCAAGACGCAGACCAAAAACACAGAAGTAGGCAAACGAGTGAAGGGATCTATTAGTGCTGATAGGCGGAAATTCTTGGAAGACCTAGCAATCACATTGAGAAAAGTTGCACGAGACGGAACTTTAGGAAAACCATGTCATACAACGCAGAAACTAACACGAAAATATCGAAAACCTGAACGACCACTCAAAAACAAACATGGCGAAACAATCACTGAGATTTAGAAATAACGAAACAGATTGGTAAGGTATTAAGAAGAGCTCTTGAATAAATTAACCTAACTGGACCCATCAGACGTCGAAACAACACAAAAAACGCCCTAGCAACGTCATTGGATATATCAAGAACGTCAAAGTAGCGGACCCATACAGGCGGAGAAGCAACAACAAAGTTTTTCAAAGCACTATTCAGAAAAGTCTGAGAGCAAACATAACTATCAAGAGACTGGAAAGCGTAACCCCATCAAAATACCAAAGAATGGAGATCATAGTAAGTACGAGAAACACAAGGGGACCAGATTACTGTCAGTACTAGGTAAGGTTTTGACAATCCTGCCAAACCCAACAGGAAATTCAGTTGACGTCCAAATTCGGCACTACTAAGCTGGCCCCAGAATGGGTCAATCATGTACCGAACAAGTCGCAACACTGAAGATCGTTGTTGAACCATCGATTGAATGGAACTTATCACTGTACATCAATTCTCTTAGTTATAAGAAACCATTTAGCGTCAAGGACCAAACAACCCTGCAAAATCCTCCTCAACATTATGGAGTAGCTGAAAAGATTGTTAGTATTATATCGATCTCTTACAATGAAGTGAATTGCGAAGTTCTGGATAGAAGGAAGCTCACGGATGCATTCCCAGTGAAGACCGGTGCCAGACAAGGCTACCTCATCTCACCTCTCTTCCTGTTGGCTATTGACTGGATTATGAAGACCTCTAAAGCTCACGAAAAGCACGGAATATAGTGGACATCTTGAGCACAGCTAGTTTACCCGGACTCTGCAGATGCTTTAGTCGTACTGTCGCATAAAGCAACAAATGCAAGTGAAGACACCCAGTGTAGCAGTGGCTTCCGCAGATGTAAGCCTCAATATTCACAAGGGAAAAAGCGAGATGCTGAAGCACAACATAGCGAGCACCACCAAAGTCAGACGTGATGACGTGATGCTCTGGGACACGTTGGGGCCTCATCTAACTGGACACCATCGTTGATAAACAAGGAGGATCTGATGCAGATGTGAAGAAACGAATTGTCAAAGTAAGGGAGAGTTTCATGTAGTTGGCCAGTGTCTAAAACTCTGAAGTACTACCATGCATGATCCAAGTCAGAATTTCCAACATTTGAAACGTCAAAACAGTTCTACCGTACTGAGCTGAAAATTGGAGAACTACCACAAGCTTCTGAAATAGAGTACAGGTATTTATAAATAGTCGTTTATTGAAAATACTCTAGACCCGTTTGGTCAGAGACCAGATAACAAATGAAGTACCGGGTAAGGAGGAAATCGGCGAAAGATGATTGAGGTGGATCGGACACAGTTTACGGAAACCATTAAACTGTATCACAAGGTAAGTCCTAATCGGTAGAGTTCAAGACAAAAAGTAAGAGGCAGACCAACTAAACGTGTGGCGTCGACAATTGGAGTCGAACATCAAGATCATCGATCGCACTTGGCAACAGTTGGAGAAAGGATCCCAGGACAGATTTACTTGTCGATCTTTGTCTGTGTTCTCCTATGTTTCAATATTGGTAACAGGCTTACTAGATGGAACTTAGATAATTCGAAGAGAAATTCTCACTGAGTTGGAATTTATTTTTATTTTCACCTGGAAAAGATGAGTGACAAATGGTAAATTTCTCTGCTTATCAAAAATATACTATAATATTATAAAGATACCTTAGTAACGGTTACTATGCTAAGCGAATATACCTTATTCTAGCTTCTGGAAAATACAATTAATTGACTTTGTCAATTATTCGCCTATCAACCTTCACTGTTTTTATATGAGCGTATGTGTGTGCACTTCTATCCTATTCATCGCATGTCTGTAACTTATTTTTGTGTGACCACAAATGTCGATTAACGCTTGACTAAACTGAGTTGGCTCATACGCCTTCTCCATTGTGTGTTATTTCGCTCCGCTCTCTTCGCTTCTTCTATATTTTGTCTGAAACAACGATTGTATGAAATATACGTATTCATCATTCATTCTCGTATTTGACTTATTTAATTCCTTTGTTCATCAACACGAGTTACGTCGATGATCATATACGAGAATATTCGCGATGTATATTTCGACAGTAATTATTTGATAACAATCAAAAACGATCAACCCGGAGTCAGATACTGGGCGACTAAAATACTGTGGAATTCTAGCCTTTGAGTGGATGTTCATGCTAACTAACATAATTCTCTCCAACATTTTCATTGCTTTCATCATACTTTAAGTTGTTTTAATGCAATCTAAATTATTCCCAAATCGAAT